CACCCTTCTGCAAATTCTACGCCTTTTTAGGATAAAGAAAATTATAAGAATTCACAAACGAAGTAAAATTATTTCACGAAGAAAAAAGATTACCTTTCCTCATCGGACAATTTCGCCAGCCAACCGTGAAGATGATCGTATTTAATGCGAATAAAAGAACACAAGTGAAAACTCGTACACGGTCTGGTAGGTTTCATGCGCTTTGTTTTCAATGTTCATTTCCACTGCACGAAGAGCTGTGTCGCTGCACGAAGAGCTGTGTCATAAAAATGAATAGGCAAAATGGACCTCTTGAAATGCTTGTTTATCGTTGGTGCCGTTAAGTTGCCAAAAGAGCAAATATCCTCAAGATTTTGACCAAAAAATGCCAGTGCCAACTTTGCAATAAACGATTTTCAGGACCCGGGAAGACCAAGTGAGAACAATGCTGGAAAGCATTTATGCATTCTGGAAATTGATTTTCGGTGAATGCTAAGGTGGGTATGACCTGTAAGCACAGCAAAACTAATTTCAGGCCTCAATAACAAAACTTTGTTTTTTAACTTTCTTTCCAAACAGGCATAAAAATTTAGCACTACAATACAAATCGCGCAACGAATTTTCCCGGAAACTATCCAACAGCAATATTAATAGTACAAATCTGATCGTGATTATGCAACGAAACATCAGCACGATGTTGAAGTTTTAAAAGCGTGGAACCTATAAATAACATAACACTAAAGCGGCGGAAAGCTTTCGCTACACAAAGTAATTTTCTTCCAAACTGTCTTTTGTGAATGCAAAAAAACCAATGTCGCGGGAGTTTTTTGCTTAAACAAGGATACTCGTATTGTTGGAAGTGCTACGCAATCGCATCTGACCGTTATTGCAGAGGCGCGGCCATGTCACCCGCAGGGATTTTGCTGACGTAGACGGAGTTATCGCAAATAATATCGATCACGGAGAAATACTGGCCTGCACTGCGCAGCCAGGAACAGCGGTAGGTGGCACCCTGAAAAAAACGTTTCAGTACTAATTTCGCAGTGTTTCTTTTATACCAACTCTTGTGCTAGTAGCAAACGTTTCTGATGCAAAAAAAATTAGTAGAGTATATAATATATTGTATTAAGGGAGGCTTTAAACTTTAGCGCAGTATCGACCACTGTCCAGTGTGATGTTTAAAAAAAGACGACAAATAATTTGAATTTAGGATTTAAATGATAAATAATGGGCTTTAAACAGTGGTCATTAAACCAAAATTATTCATGTGTTGTCGTTGTGTAGAAAAATACGAATAAGCATTATAAGCTGTAAAACAAATTATTACAATAATTAATTTAAGAAAATACTCGCAATTTCTAATTACGGTTTCTTCCATTCAATAGGGTGGCAAACGATTTTGTAAAAAACAAAGTTTTTGATATCGCGATTTTGATTTTTTTCGTGAAGTTCTTGTTTTTTATGTAGTATGTAGTATATAGCTCGGTTTCGTTCTCCGTCTGTTGCTCTCAGTATTAATCTGTTTTTTTCGAGCGTTGCGCTTTGATTTGCTTCAGAATGCACTTTTATGGAAAGGAACGTTTTCATCTCCATCCCGTACACCAGTGGCACTCAGTGGATGTCCTAACGGAAAACGGGCTGTTTCAGCACGGTGACGTGATCGATATAGCTGAGAACGGGCTGATTGTGGATTTCCGCTGCAGCGGGCAGCGATCCCAGTTGGTCCACTATGACAAACTATTTGACGCTTCATTCGCCTCTGCGTCGTACCGAAGTTGGCAGGCAGAACTGCAGCGGCATCCCACGCTTACGGAGAATGCCAGTGTGCAGGTCCTGTGGCGCTCGCATCCGGGTGCCGCCTGGCTGTGGTATCCGGCGCGGCTCGTACATCGGGGTTTTTTCTTCCCTTTTCATAACTTGGGTCTCGTGTTCGCTGCAGTGGAACTGGACGGTCGACAGCAAGCGGAGCTATTCTCCGCTGATCAAGTGCGCGTCCAACCGTCAAAGACGATTCTTGCCAAACGAGCGCTGAAAGAAGGATGTTTTGTTCCGCCAGAACAGCGTTTGCCTGTGAATTATTAGCAGGCCAGCGCTGCTGTGGCAGCTGAGTTTCGGGAAAATCTTCAGAATTACAATGGTCTTCGTGTTGTCGCGGTCCTTAGCGAAAAACTGAAGTATGTGCAGCGAAATGGCGCGAGGCCACCGACAGAAAACGATGTGGTGCGTATGCACTTATAAAGATTGATTTATAAATACTAACTAAAACTTACTTAACTGAAAGGACTAGGAACGGAGTACACGGGCTGCGCAACGGTCTTCTACGTCATCACTGTCGCATATACAGGAGGGCGGCTGCCGTGGTGACAGATACGTATTTTGTCAGATTTCTCACCAGATTTCTTCTCACAGATTTCTTTCTCACCCGGTTCTGCAAAAATATCAGAAAGGTTTTGATGAGAAAGAAACTTGAGAATATCTTTTAAAAGCGACATAAAAATATGGGGAACTATGGTACGAAATAGGCTCAAACAGCACAGCACTGCGTTCTGGATGAGTACTTATGCGAGTGGCCGAGGGCGATGACGTGAACGACCGTTGCGCTTGCACGAACTCATTTAAACTTTTTGGAATTTTCGTACAGCCATTACTAACGAACTCGATGCTGCGCGCACAAACAGTTTTCACGCCAGTGTATACAAATCATCTGGCTATAGAATAGCATAAAAGAAAACCAAAATGTGTTTGGGAATGCGCGAAAGTGAAAGATATTGTGCATCAGTGCATGTACACGAATTTGGTGCCATATACCGGGTCACTTCACTTAATGTCTTGTGTTGATGATAGGACAACTCGTACCAGCGGAGCCTTACTGAGGTTTCACTGCTGCAAGGCTTGAAAAAGCTGCACGAGCTTGTTGTAGAGCTAGTGGAGTCCAGTTACGGGACCAAAACGCCAGGAAAGCGCAAACACCCAGGAGACGATGGACTGCCGGAAATGAAATATGTATTGCCAACCCAGACGCATCTACTGCGCGAGATCTTCCACTCACTGGATAGCGGCAGTCGCGTGAAACTGCGCCGTGTGCGTCCGCTGTGGAATGCCGTGTTGACCGCCGCCGACAGTGGCAAAACGGTTCGTATTTCCTTCGAGATTAACCTGTTTTTCCCAATGGAAGCGGACAAATTCACCGACGTGTACGGCGCCGTCGCTGGCCTGATCAAGTGCATTAACAGCTCGACACAGCGACTGATCGTGGAGGGTGTGAAGGAGGACACCTTGGCCGGGGTATTTGCGGTGATCAAGTGGAAGCTGCGAACTATCCGCATCAAACAGCTGATATTTTATAATGCCAGTCTTGATTGGGAAGATCGGTTCCCGAGGAAATTCCTCGGCAACGTGCAAGGGGGTGTTGGAGAAGTGGAGGCTGGGGGTAACACGTTGACACGGCTCCTGGCCAAGGAGTTGAGGGATCTGGCTCTGTCCTGCGGTGAAGTCCGACTGCGGCGATGTGCATTCAGTTGCATCTGGAAGATGGAAGCATGTATTCCCGATGCGACGATCAAGCTGGATGCAACGGATATTCAGTCGAAATTCTGGGACTTGTACGAGGCCGGTCTGTCCCGTGACGGAGTGGATTTGGAGGAAATAACTGAGCGTTTACGCACCGGATCGGGCGAACTTCGCAGGATGGTTGTTCGGGTAAACACTAAACAAAGAATGCTGCGGCAGGCAGATTATTTTAGAAACACATTGCGCTATACGGTACTGCGGTATGTTAGAAACATTACTGTTTAGTGCTTCCAATAATATGGTTACTGAAGTATACTATTTCTTCGTTAAACAGAAGTTTGTTGTATGTATTCTTGTGCGGTCAAAATTTCTTACCGACCCGGCAGTTATTTGGACAATACGGGAACGCGAATTTCTCTTGTTGTTGCTAATGGAATGTTAAAAGTTCGTTCATCTGCAGTTTCTCAAGGACTGGCAAAGTCACGATCCGCGATTGACGACGCCGTATCGCGGTCGCGAATGGACGGTGGAGAATCTCACCGAGCTGGATGTGTCCAAGCTGACCACACTGACGCTGCGTGCTCTGAAAGAAGTTCTTCCTAAATATTTAGAGAATAATTATTGGTGATTTTGGTGGTTAAGAACGCCACGAAGGGATGCCGATGAAGTCTACAAAAACATCCAGAATAACGAAGTTGTCGAAAACGAGTTGAATAACGACGACCGCGAACTCGATGATAACGTCGATCGTACACGGTTCTTTTTCCGCGAATGTTTTCGGTTTGTTTTTATGGGAAACCCAACAGATGACTTCGTGTTTTCTTCCCTTTACGGATTGGAATGCTCCCCAACGAATGCTAATTTCTTGTTAAAAGGAGCCTCGTAAACGAACAGCTCTGTCATACTTTTGTCCAGTCGCCGGCATGTTCGGTAATAACCAGGGAATTAGTGCAACGCCGCTCTAGTTTTCTTGCTCTTGTTTTCTTGTAATATAATCTCTGTTGTTTGTTATCTTCTTTCGGGTGTCAGGTGCCTTGAGCGGGCAGTCGCATAAAGACTCTCATAACAAATTTACGGGCAAACATTACTAATAGTAGCTGAACGGCTAAATCGACATGACCTGATGACTGTTGTAATTGCGAAGTACGCAGAAAGTCATCAGAAAAGTCCATTTCTCTCGAACTCAGTTGCTGCTTGCCGGTTACAAAACGTTGACCCTCAAACTGCATCTCGCAAACCTACCCCTCTAATATTACAGCTACTCTACATATTTTATTGGCTCTAATGGGTTGCGGAAGGTGGTGCTAATGGGTTGCGGAAGGTGGTGGTCTTAACCACCATTATGCGGCTGAGGAGATGAAAGCTTGATACGGTCTAGGACGTTTCTATCCAATTACCCAGCATGGCTCCGGTCGGAATAATACTGGTTAATCGTAAACCGAGGTAACTCGTGGCATGTTTTCTTGCAAATTTTTAAGATCATTCAAGAACGAAAAAACTTTGTTCTGTTAGTTGCCTAAGTGAGTACAAGACTGAATTATGGAGATTCTAGTAAAGCAAAGCTAACGAAAAACTAAGATCAACAATGATTGCATCCCAAAAACCTATGAGAGTAACTGAGTAAGTAAAAACAAAAGACAAGGCCGTCCGTTGCAGAATCCTTTGGTCAGTTTGGCGGTTTAAGCGAATCCTTCATCGCCACCCGAAATCGCTCCATAACCACAGCTCACCCGACTCTGACCCGGGCGTCCTGCCTGCCGCACCGCCTTCCAAAACCAGACGATCCCGACAACCATGTAGGCCACGATCGCCAGGATATGCAGCGGTAAGCAGGCGCGTTCGGGAAAGAGAAACTCCCAGCTGGTCCGTGCCGCATAGCACCAGGACCCGTACAGGACGACATGACCGGCTATCATATACACCCAGCTGACCGCTGGGATTCCCTGGTCCGTCTGTTCGGCCAGTGGTTGGCGCTTCGCGTTGGTGTCTTGAGTGCGCTTCGCGGTACAGCATTCCCAGCAACACCAGAAGCACGCAGACAGTAGCAAGATCCACGGCAACAGCGGTATGGCAAAGTGATAGAGGATACAGAACGGCGCCGAGATGACATAGCCCAACCAGCCGACAGTTAACACGCCGGGAGAGAGGTCGTTGGCGCCGTCCGGGAATAAAGCTTCGTAGGTGGTGTTGTCCCAGCAGGGGCGCAGGTCCACCCAGTAGGACATGCGGGCGGTAATCCCGTGCAGCATCTGCAACACACGAACTTCGGCGAATTTCAACACTACGTAACGTTTTCACGTATTTTGGTCGTTTCAACTGTCAAGTGCACGCTCAAAATGTATATATTGGTCACTGGGTGTTAAAATTTCAAAATAACAGGTTTAAAGCAATAAACAGTTTTCATGGTTCCAACTTCCAACTTCCACCGTGCCGTTCAAAGTAAAGAACTCAATAAAAATTATTACCCATTAAAAAGCAAAGTAATTATGGACCGGTCATTCTGGCTTCAACAGTTTCAGATTTAAACACTCTCGCTTCATTTTTGGCAGTTACAAAGCAGTGATAACAAAATCAAAAAGACGTAAGCTAATTAGCTAATAAGCTGTTATTCATGTAGCGCGATGCCGAAAAGAGGGTGTGGGTGACCAGAATTTGGAAGCGTATATACTTGGGACTTTTACTAAAAGTGGAATACTTCGCCTGGCCCATTATTTTAATCATTACTAGGCAAGCGGCAACTCTTTCCCATCGCATCAGTAAATTTTATCACTTTCCCCGCTGCATCTTTACCCGTGTGCAGGCGCTCACGTGATACTTGATTTCAGCCGTTTCACGTCTGAACCGGTTTGCAGCTATAGTTGATTACGCAGACTGAAAAGAAGATAGCGAAGAGGACGGCAGGTGAGATTTTATCGCCGGCTAAGTAAGCGCTGATTAGAATGGTGAATAAATGCGATATCACGTGAGCGCCTGCACACGGGTAAGATGCAGCGGGGAAAGTGATAAAATTTACTAAAGCGATGGGAAAGAGTTGCGCTTGCCTCGTACCGCTTTAGGGATCAATATATTAATCACTTTACCCAAGTGACAGCCCCTGTGGCCGGCGGCTACACGAACAACCACGGCGGACTGAAATGCAGTCTGTGCATTACCTTTCAGTCTATGCACATTATGCAGCTTATTAGTGATGCAATCTATACAAGACCAGCACTGCATCTTTGCAGTAAAAGTGATTAATATATTGATCCCTAAAGCGGTACTGATTAAAATAATGGGCTAAGAGAAATATGGGGAAAACAGTTCTGCTGGAGCATCCCTATTCGTGTTTTTCATATAGTACCTCGAGTGTGCTTCTAACTGTGTATCTCGAAAGTCGGAACAGTACGAAAGGTCACCAAGACAGCTTTGATTGCGATTATCAGAATACGGAGATACCAGTTCAAATGATTTAGGTGAAACGTAGTATTTATTTCCGAGACAACCAGGTAAAAATGGCCAATACGTACCACAAGTTCCGTCCCATTTCCGGCGGCTTCAGTCCCGTTAAGACTTTCGGTTCCGTTTGCCGGTTCGCTGGAGTGTTTCGTCACATCCGGTATCACAGCGTGCACAAAAAGGGAGTAGAGATTGTTAGGATAGCTCAGGTGAAGCAGCAGTCCTAGAAAGAACATCACGCCGATGAAGACAAGCGGTCGCTGTAAATCCGCTGCATTGACCTCGGCGGTCCTTTCTGCGTCGCTCCTCTTCTCGAGCCGGTAACTGTCTCTCCTGCAGCGGTAATCAATATTTTAATTATAAGACGCTCCATTCGTTAGAACTATTTTTCAGACGTCGAAAAGTTGTTCTATATAAATCCGGCGGGAGTAAAATAATGTCCTACACTCTGAAAAAATAATTTCCAAAAAATGTCGTATCATATGTACAACTTACAGCCAGATTCGAAAGAACATCCCAATCCGCGACGGAATCCTCACAATCCCCGCGAGATTCAACATGCAAAACACCGCCCACCCTCCCACCACGACGCTGCTGGCCGGCAACACGGCGGCATCGCCGGCAACCGCCCGGGCTAACCAGATGGCCAGATTCAGGGTCAGAATGGGCGGCACCCACACCGACGTCACGTATACCACGAAGACGACGGCGGCCACAATCCGGCTGCAGCAGGTGCGGTAGCGGGTGGTGATGAGGAAACCCGCCGGTGTATCGTGAATGGCCCAGGAAGGTGTGTTCACCAGCAGACTGTACGGCAGCAGTATGCACAGCGCCAACGTTGGTACGACGCAGATTAGGAGAAGGAACGCGGACGCGACCGTGTCGAAGCCGAGGGAGGGGTTTTTAGTGATGTAGACCGTGGTGTCGCAGATAATGTCGAGAAAGGGGAACCACGGCCCGGCACTGCGCAGCCAGAAACAGCGGCAGTGGTCGCCCTGAAGAAAACATTACAGTGTAAATTTGACGAGTGTTTCTTCTGGAAAGTCATATAGTGAAACTGTTTCCAAATACCAATGCAGAAAACATTGAAGTAAACGCGCATGAATAAAGCAGTATATCCACTGTTGTGACCGACTGTTGACACAAGAGAAATTAACAAATCGAGAGAGGAAAAATTTGGAGATCACATAATATTGTAAACCCCTTCTAACAAAACCAACTTTCAGTCATTGCTTTATATCAAAATTATTCGGCTTCCACTTTGCCTGCGTTTCACTAGTACCAAGAACTTACTATAGCTAGTCTCGCACTATAGTAATTACTTGCTAGTTGCTAGTACGTATGAAATACAAAATTGATAGCCTAGAACCAGATAGTTATTTAGTAAAGCTACCAATAAGATTTGCATCATTTGCTTGTTTATCAGTGAAAAGTATATTTTTTGAAAAACCGAGTCGTGGAATCTTGCCTGCTGGAGATCTGACCACACTAGAGAATTGAAGCCATCCATCTCCGCTCGAATGTCCGTGCGGGCTTCGCGTAATTCGGGCAACGCCAAGCGCAGTAGGAACTGCGACAAGTCCGTGCACATCAACAGCACAACAATACTTTCACAGAGGATCTCGGCGTAGCGCCAGGATTTCTGGCGCAAATATGACTGGGACATGGTACTCGTCGTGGCTGCCCGTGTGCAAGACTCGACTCAAAACTGGAAATATGTTATGTTATCGAAATTTAACCGAAGAACTTCAGAGATTTTTTTTGTCAAATTGAAATCAATGCAGTATCGGCGATTACATAACTGACGGCTGACGAGGAAAGCAGCCCAGCCTGTTGAGTGTTTAATCCTGCCTTTTACTATGGCTTTGATACTAGCGGGAGTTGGAGAGAGAGGGTGATCGGTGGTCGTTGCTCGGCAGATTATATAATTATTATACTCGTATACACTGTGATAGCCACAGCCCACAGGTAGACTAATCCCTTGTTAGCTTGTACCGTACTTGAAGCCACCCATAGAACATTCTTGTGGCGTAGTATAGCAACCATGTTGCTAGCGTATGGTCATCAGTGTGTGGCGTATTATAGCAACCATGTTGCTAGCGTATGGTCATCAGTGTGAGACCATCAGTGTGTGTTGGGTCGAGCTGCAGTAAAGTGCTAAGTCGTGACAATTCTGTTCTGCCGCTTATTCTCAACACCGGATAGAGAGGGAGACAGAGCCGTTCTATCCCTCTTCCAACTGAACTGCGGCTAAACGGTGGCAGAAGCATGTATGAAAGACTGCTCAAGATCACTCATTTAGGCCGCTGAATATTTCCGTGCTGTTTCGGATCTACCTAAAAGCCGCTCTGCAGCATTGCAACCTAGAGTAGCTGCTCCGTGCTTTCCGTATTTGCATTCAATTCTGTCGTCTTTCCTGAGACACGTCTGCTCTGATTCTACCTAGCAGTATTCTCCAATCTGTCTCATTGTAAAGCAGTTTTAATAATACAATGATAATAATATAATTATGCACTGCATGAAGCACCTTTAATAAGTATCATGTCACAAGTACAAACTTAGTACTAGAAAACATTTATATTTACACTTATATATGCACTTATATAGGTTATATTCAATTAAGATAACAATTAAATTTTTCCGGTCTTTCATCAGCCTGTTCTGCACAAGCTAAGGAAAGCGCGAATAACAGTCGATTAGTCCAGAATTGCGTACGTCTGCACCACGCGCGCCTGCGTCGCGATGACCTCTGCCTGCGGAAGCTGGTTGCCAGATGACAATTGTCGGTGATAGAGACTTTCGAGCGCTACCCCTCTTTAGTTGGTTACCGTTGGCCGACGAGAACTCGGAAGGGGATGGAGGGGGGATAGTGTCGGCCTATTCAGCCGGATAGGCTAATGTCAAGGGTACTCAGAATGCATAGAGCTGCAATTGATAGCGGTGTGCGACAGTGCGAGCAGTAGGTATTGCAATTTGCCAATTACCCACACCGTGCCCGGTCATCACGGGATTCACGGCTACAGCTCGCCCGTTAACTTGACTTCACTGCTTCCCTTTGACCGCTCGTTGGGCGGAGTCAGGGCTGATGTTGGTTGGTATGTTGAATCGTGTGACGAAGAAAGCGCGTCGAAATTTGGCAAAACAAATTACACGAAACAGAAGTCGTTAATGATGCCAACAAGTTGAACTTTATTATTGGCAAAATTACCACAAAAGCACGAAATTTGTTTTGTGATAATTTCTTTACCTAAGTTTGCACCATTAGTTTAACTTCTAAACGGTAGTTACGGACTTCCGGTACGAGTACTAGTAAGGTACTTATAAATTATTTTTCTAACACCAACGCTACAAGAACTGCGCACTGCTCATAGTGCTCAACAGCCTCAACCACTCTGTGATGACGGTCGATGGCGCACCGCCCGCGGTGGTGCGTTGGAATCTTTATGCTAGAACTTGCTGTTCGCTGAAATTCTCAGTTCGTGACGTTTTGCACGGCCCGCGCTCAAGCTCTGACTCTGACTCAGACTCTGACCGCTCAAACTCTGACTCTGACTACTCAAAGTCTGAATCTGACTGTCCAAAGTCTGACTCTGACTCTGACTGAATTACCTAAGAATAAGAATAACTTAAGAAACCTAAGAAACCTAAGAAACCTAAGAAAACTAAGAAAACTAAGAAACCTAAGAAACCTAAGAAACCTAAGAAACCTAAGAAACCTAAGAAACCTAAGAAACCTATTAAGAAACCTGAGAAACCTTCAGAGTCAGAGTCAGACTTTGAGCGGTCAGAGTCAGACTTTGAGTAGTCAGAGTCAGAGTTTGAGTGGTCAGAATCAGAGTCAGAGTCAGAGTTGGAGTCTAGGCCGTTTTGGGCCCTTGCTTAACAGTTCGCGACTACAGTATTATTACCGTATTTTACGGGCAGACATCAAAGATCTGTATCGTGACTGTCGTTTGGCTTTGTTCTGGCTCCAAGTATTTTTTTTCTAGCGTTTCCCAATCTTTAGTTACCTGAAATTTAAAAATGCACCTGTATGGAGAAAAACATTATAATTCACATCCCGTTCACCAGTGGAGCTCTGTGGATGTGCTGACGGAGAAGGGATTCTTTCAGCACGGTGACGTGATCAATGTGGTGGAGAATGGTCTGATTGTGGATTTTCGCTGCAGCGGACAGCGCTCCCAGTTTGTCCATTGCGACAAAATCTTCGACGCTGCCGTCGCCCCGTGTTCCGCGCAGTACGAAGACTGGCCGGAAGAACTGCAGCTGAATCGCGCATTGACGGAGAATGCCCTTGTGGAAGTGCTATGGCGCTCGCATCCGGGTGCGGCGTGGCTGTGGTACCCTGCACGGCTCCTTCATCGTGCTTTCTTCTTTCCTTTTGATGATACTGGCATCGTATTTGCCGAGGTTGAGTTGGATGGTCGACTGCAGGCGGAACTCTTCTCCACTGATCAGGTGCGTCTGCAGCCGTCGAAGAAGCAGCTGGCGAAACGAAAGCTGAAAGAAGGATCCTTTGCACTGCGAGAACATCGTCTCCCTGCAACGTTTTGGTCTACCGGCACTTCTATGGAGTTTGACCATTTTCGCAACTACCATCGGTTGCACGGGGATCTTCGTTTTGTCACCGTTGAAAGCGAAACATTGAAATATGTGCAGCGAAAAGACGCGAAACCCCTTACGGAACAAGATGTGGTGCGTACTGCGTATATGTAAAACCAAGTCGTCGCCAAGTCGTTTTTTGTGGTTTTTCTTTCATGATTCCCATTAAACTTATGTGTAAATCAGTGAATTCGCAAATTTAAAACATGATTTTCTTGAATAGTTCAGTGAGCTGGGTAGTGTAGCCGTGGATGCTCAAGCACCAGGTATGAAAATTGGTTTTAAATTACAAATTTGGCACACGGGTTCAGGGTTAAACGCAGATATATCTCCCGCATGATGATTCATGTTCTGATGATGTATGTGTTTGACAGGAAAAAATGAACAAATCGAGGCGATACTGGTTTGCACGGCGGCAGCACCAGCGGCGTTGGACTGAGTGGAAGTCGCGTAACTTCTTCGAAGTACCCAGAAAACGCAAACACGTAGAAGATGACGAGCAGCCGGCCATCAGATGTGTGCTGCCAACTGCGGCTCATCTTCGGCGCGAGATCTTCCATTCACTAGACAGCGTCAGCCGCATACAACTGCGCACCGTCTGTCCGCTGTGGAATGCCGTCTTGACCGGCGCGGACAGCGGAACAACTGTCCGGATCTCCTTCGAGAGGCACCCATACTTCCCCGAAGTGTACGGCGCCGTCGCGGGGATGATCAAGTGCATCAACAGTCCCACGCAGCGACTCATTATTGAGCATGCGAAGAGAAACCAACTGGACGGTTCACTGACGGTGATTAAATGGATGCTGCGGAATATCCACATCCAGCAGTTGATCTTCTATAATGTGGAGTTTGATTGGGACGACCAGTTCGTGGGGTCCGAATACGCTGGAATCGATGGTATGGTTGCTGGGGAAGCCGAAGGGGGAGGGAACTAGTGGATACGCCGCCTAGCTAAGGAGCTGAAGAATTTGGCGCCTAGTTGCGATGCAGTCCGACTTCGAGATTGTAAATTCCACTGCCAAAAACAAATGCCCGCAATTATCCCGCACGCTGTGCTTAAACCGGATGCAGCGGATATTGAAGCGCAATTCTGGGATCTCTACGAGGCCAACCTGCCTCGCGACGGAATGAATGTGGAGGAAACGGCAGAATGGATTCGTACAGGATCCGAGGCGCTTCGCACGATGGCTGCACAGGTGCAGAGCTACCGATATCAATTGCGGATAGAAATTTGCTGAGTTTTGTTGTACGATCGAATTTTTTACCGATCCCGAAACTGGCTAATTTTTTTGAAATTTATTTTGATTTACTATTTATCTTCAAAATTGTTGGTTCATGTGCAGTTTCTTAAGGACTGGCAAAGTCACGATCCCCGATTGACGACGCTGTACCG